GAATCTCTCTTGTGAATGGTCAACTGTTCCGAAGGTCTTCGACCTTTTATTTGGGGATGGCTTGCTGATTTAAGAATAAGAATTGTCGGGTATTTGGTACTGTTTATCAAAAATATACGAGTTGTTCCTTATTTTATTGTTTTTTGATGGATTGATGAGCTTACAATATTTTAGAAATAGATTAAAAATTGGAGCAGTGGAATCGTTGTGTGAATGTTCAAGTGTGCTGGAGGTCCTCGACCTTTCTGTGAATGGTTTGCTTTACGATGAATATGAACCGACGAGATTTTAGTCCGAAATTTAAAAGTTATTCCGTGTTTTTTGACCGATTGTTGAGCTTGTAGTATTTTATAAATAAATAAAAATTGCAGCAGTGGTGCTTGAATAGTCAAGTGTTCCGAAAGTACTCGGATAGCATGTTTTACAAACCGTTACGTGAATGGGATGAGATATTCAAATTATTTTGGGTTTCACCTTTTTTATACATAGTATTTTTCTTTCATTAAACATTTAAACTAGCCTTTGAATACAGAAATGTTGCTTTTCTTGAAAAATAAAACGAAACAAAATTAAATGTGGTAGAAATACTGCACTTCCCTCTGAGTAATGCACACATCCACTCATACCATTCTGTCTGCTCTTTGAAATAAAGGTAATTTTTTAATGTACTGTTCATTTCAAAGAAAGGCATACTTTCTAAACTGGAGCTGAAGAATTTCCAAGAAATGTTTGATTTTGTGCACTTTTGGAACACCAATATGTTTCCTCTGCAGCATTTTTTTTTAAAGAATTTGGCATGCTGTATGTTTGAAAAATTTCCAAGTTTTCTGCCATTTATCAAAGAATTTGTATGATCAATATATTGCCTATAAACAGAATCATGGCCCAAAATGTGTTATAATGAGATTATAGCCTAAATTAAGTTTGTTGAAATGAGATTTTTTTAACATTGTGCCTATGGGAAACTGCCAGGACCAAGAGAAAAATTTGTTGTAATGAAAAATGTGTTATAACGAGATTCGTTGTAATGAGATTTTACTGTATATTGATTGTTGAGCTTATGATAAACGATAATGAAAATAACACCTGTGGAATCCTGGTGCGTGATTGCTTCAGTGCGTTTAAGGTTTTCGTCTTTCTCGGGATGTTGATAAATTGGGACGATTTATCACGAAATTAAAAGTTATTTTTTGTTTTATTGCTTTTTAATCGATTGTTGAGCTTAAAATATTTTATAAATTGAAAAAAAAAATCGCAGGAGTGGAGACGTGGTGCGTGAATAAATGATCAAGCGTCATGAAAGGGAACGGGACGATTTATTGAAAAGTTTCAAATTATTCTGGGTTATATTGTTTTTTTATTGTTTGTTGAGCTCATGTTAGTTTATAGAGATGGGAAATGAAAATTGCAACCTGTGGAAGTCTTTGGTTGTGATTGCAGTGCCTCGAAAGTTCTTGTCCTATTTCAGGCGGGTTTCCTTTACGAGCCGATTTATCACAAATACAGAAATCATTATACGTTTTATTGTTTCTGATCAATTGTCGAGGTTACGGTAGTTGATAAATAAAAATGTGGCAATTACACCCGTGGAATCATTCTGTTTAGATTGCTACAGTGCCTTGAAGGTTCCTCTTATTTTCTCGGGATGGTTTATTTTACGAACCGTTACGTACAGTACACTCGGGATTATTTACTACGAATATGCAAATTATTCCATTTTTTATTGTTTTTGATCAATTGCTGAGATTACGGCTTTTTGATCGAGCGGAAAAGTTGCTCTTGTCCAGCGTTTCTGGATATGAGTATTTTTTGTTGCGAGTTATTGACGATTTTTGCTGAATGTCGGAGTGATTTTTTTTTAATGCGAAATTTTGAGCTTGATCTTCAAGTGAAGAAAACGAAACGAAATTTCCGCAAGTTTGCAATGCTTTAATATAGGCCGCACGTTGAAAGTGATCGATGGCAAAAAAAAAATCTGGAATATACGCCGCACCAGCGATTTCAAAGGGAAAGTGTGGCCTTTTTCGAGTGAAAGCTTTTTTAAGAGTACAGATGGTAAATTTTCAAGAGATGAGATATAATTAGGAGATTTCATTCTCAATTCATGGTTCGTGATCAAAGTTGAGAAACATTTGAAGCGGACAATGAACAATTTTCATTTTCTTGGGCTTTTATTTGTTGAGTTGATGCAAATTTTTGCGGAAGGGAAAAGTAGAAAATTTGATGCGTGATGTTGAAAGTTGGTGGTTCCCATGAGTATAGTATTCTCTCTTTTTCTTTCGGTGATGAATTCTGCATTTGCAAAAAAATTGAATTGATTATGCAGTATTTCTGTGCAAGAGGAAGGGGTTAATTTCAACCATGAAGTGATTCGCCAGAAGTGCTTCGAAAATAATCCTTTCTTCAAACTCCTCTGAATACTTGACACAGTTTATGTGGAACATCCAGCTTCGATTTTTATAAATTGCCCTTTTTTATTTTTATGTGATGTACTGCTTTAAATGTTTCATAATTTTAAAAAATTATGGCCTTAATTATGGCCTAAATCATGAATAATTTAAAGTGTTCGAGTTATTAGTAAAAAAGAATTATATACCGAGATCAATAATAAATTAAAATTATCTGACGAAATATTCCATGACGTAATTTAATTTTAAGAATTTTTCATGATAAGGAGGTTTTTGTTTTTCACGGGTCTCCCGAGGCCTTCCTTCCAACAAGGTTTTACTATAGCACAATATCCAGAACGGTACTAACTGCAGAACAAAGAGGAGTTGGAATACAATTTTATCTCTGAAGTATACGTCTTACTCATCCTGATTCATTTCAAGAACGTCGATGGTTGAAGTGGGCCGAATCTTTTTACTGCTCGCCTCATTCTTGCCGACCGAGGAAAACGGTTCGAGTCAGATGTAAAACAGTCTCTTATTTTTTTTTCAAAGATATTTTCGGCTTCTTTTTTTTGTACGTGGGTCAGGTCAATTGCTGCTGCTGTTAAGTTTTATATCTAACGTGGGCCGTTTGAAAAATGTGGGGAAAGAATGTCAGCGAATCTGTGGAGCAGTTTAAAACCCCGGACGCCTTCTTTGATGAGCCGTTGGCCCGATTTTGAGATTCTGCAAACAGTGCGTCGGAATTTAAAAAAAAAGTGGTTATTATTTGCCGGTGTGAATTGAAATACTTTTTGAATTGGGTGCATTTAAAATGCTGCGAAATTAAAATGAAATGCCTACCTTGTCATTTGAGTACTAATCTCATTTTCCCAAAGACTTCAATGCAAATGTATTCACTTTGTTGTCAAGTTTGTCAAATATTAGGAATAAGTCCTCCAAAAAATTAAATATGTTATCTGACAATTGGTTTTTGGGATTTGGAGGGTTGTCCTTCGTCCTCCAACCTTTAAGTGGATGACCGTAAGTATTGCCAGATAAATATTTGCCTAATCATTTGCTATGATTTGTTTGAGCGTAAGCCTTCCCCAGATTCAATGAAGCTTAGACTTTACTTCTACTGCAATGTGCTTTATTGACAGTAATACAGGTGAACCTCAATAACTCAAACCTCCCTAAGTCAAATACCCCCTTAAGTCAAATTTTTTCAGATCCCCTCTGAATCCCCTTCGAAACAATGCATAAAAAACCTTTCTAATTCGAAGGGTTTTCCCCTCAAACCTCTGTAAAGTCGAATTTTCTGTGGCCTTTTGGCCATTATTTTCTTGGAAAAAGAAAGAAAAAAGCAATAAAAACAGCAATTTTTGTTTTTAAAGGAAGTGAAAGATTTAATTGGGGAAATGAACCCCTGCCTCCAATTTCCGCAGCCGTTCAACACAATGAAGAAGCCATTTAAGCTTTAGATTATGTAAATTTACATTTTTTCCAAGTTTTTCAGAAAAAATGGCTTTGTATTGTAGTTCCAATCTATAAAATTCCTGACCTCCCTAAGTCAAAACCTCCCTAAGTTGAATTTTTTGCAGGCACCTTGAAATTCGACTTAGAGAGGTTCAACTATTATACCACAAGAACATTAATGAAATTATGTGGATTCTTTCCGCAAAGAGGGCTCTCTAACCACTACGAACTCTCATGCAATCTGTTCATAGGATAACAGGTAAAAATTGTTTTTGTCAACTTCAAGTTATAGAAAACAAGCGCGCAGTTGAACACCATGTAGAATCTGATCCGTTGGCCAAGGAGCTCAAAATGCAAAGAAAAAGAATAAGTCTTGCTACAATGTTCATATACAGTATACTGTAATAAAGTGTAGTAAAGAAACTCTGATAAGAAAGAAGCACAAAATCAACTTGTTTTTGATTAAAAATTAGAGTAAATTCATAAAGCATGAATAGCTCAATTTTTTCAAGAGATAATGTATCAAAATTAAAAAATAGATTTTTTATTTTTCTGGAAAATGTCAGAAAAACATCCCTATCTTGAGACTTTGTCTGAATGATGGTGGCATATTTTTGTTTGTTTTAGGTGTCCCTAATTTGAATTGTCTGTATGTCGTTGTGTCCACATTTTGGGGTTGCACTTCAATTTCTGGGATGAATTTTCATTTTAAATTTGGGTGTGATTATAGGTTTGAAAGTTTTGTTGGTGTTTTCTTGTCAAGATATATCAGCAGAATTAGCTAATCCTGAAGGAATCTTGTGGGACCAGAGTTGACCTCAAGTTCCCACAATCTTCCTCCCAATGAGTAAATCATGGGGTAGAGGAAAGGTTTAGAGATTTTTACTGGAACATGATTATTGAGAACCTTGTAAAGATCTGCAAAATTTTGGTTCATACGTTTTGTCAGCGTAAAAATTGTTGTATATACAGAAGGATTTTTCTTTAAATTTTCAGCCTGTGTATTTTAAGATGAAGCAATGCAAAAAAATCCCTGCAAATTTCCATGTCGTGTCTAAGCGGGTTTCGAGTGCTTATTGCATATGATCAATGCTTGTATTATCGCACTCAAAAGATCCGTATGATTGAATCATCTTGGGGGTTTTTTTTTCTTTCTCTCTCGCAATTTCACAGAGACATGATGACTGAAACGGTTTATATGGCGCGAGTGACCATGGAAGGGGTTCCACAGCTCCCAAACAACAACAGCAACAACATCAGCAGGTACCCTGGTGCAGAATCAACAGGTGTGCCAAATTTCCCTGTTGCGAGCAAAAGTGCGGGGCACATCAGGGTACACCATCAACAGCAGCAGCAACAGCAAAAGAAACCCGCTGTTGCCCAGCACAGACCCGCCTCAGTGGGACCCGGGATACCGGTGAATAATAGCGGGACAGATGCTTCTGCGGTTCCCATCAAGGTCGGCATCGCCGGGCAAATGGTGTGTAATTTTCAAAAGGAGTTCCTTAATTGCTGGTACTTTCGGGTCTTGTGGAAATGGGGGTTTGATGAATTGTTGCCTTGTTAGAGAGCGAGAGAGAGAAGAGGAGGAAAAAGAAATTAGGGCGTTTTATTGAGCGCTTTTCGTGAGTCGTCGAGTATATGAAGAAATTTAAAATTTGAAAACTCATTTTCTGCGCATCCGTAAAAGAAATCATTTTCATCTCCTCAAAAAAGAATCTCCCCATTATTTCACGTCATCAGTTCATCATAATTTATTTTTTCTTTACCTGAGAAATAAGGGGTTGACTTCTTGTGCTAAAACTTTAGAATGTTTTTTTTTTTAGATTTCCTGAATTCCTGTAAGAAGAGAGAATTTTGAGTTATTCCTGGAAAGATTAAAGGTTGAAAAGTTATTTTCTGTATACCAGCAAAAGAGATCATTTCATCGCCTGTTTGAAATCGATTCCCATTTTCTGTCGCCATGAGTTCATTATTAATTTTTTTCAGCTGAGAAATAAAAATAAGGGGTTGAATTTTTCTGCTCAAGCTAGAATTCAGTTGCTTTTGAGATTTTCTGAATTCCAAAGAAGAACAAAAATTTATACTGAGTCGATCATGAAGAGATATGAAGGTAAAAAAATCATTTTCTGCTCAAAAGTAAAAGAGATCCTTTCATCGCCTGTAAAAATAAACTTCCGTTATTTTTTGTCATCAGTTCATTATCTTTTTTTTTCATTTTTTACCTGAGAAAAGAATAAGGGGTTGACTTTTTTGTATGCTCCAGCTAGAATTCAGTTGTTTTCGAGAGTTCCTGAATTCCAAAGAATAAGAAAGATTTTCCCTATGAAAAGCCAAAATACTTGGATGATCACTCGTAACCCAATTTTTTTTTTCTCTTGCAGCCAAATGCAAGGACCTCAGCTCGAGACTTCATAGCCCACAATGGGTTGCCACCGGGTCGCCGCAGTGTTCCCAACACGAGATACATTCCCAACAACGCTGCGAAATCAGAAGCCAGCAACAGCAGCAACAGCCACACCTACCAGCAGATGTACAACCACGTTATGTACCGACATCAGGCGCAACTCGTGGCTGCCAGAATGCCCGCACCGCAGCCTCCGTCTCGACTTTGGCAACACTCAAAACCCGGCAACAGAGGTACTGTATTTGTTCTTGCCTGCTTCACAAAAATTTTTAAATTTTATAGTTGATGCTTCGGAAAAGAATGAAGACTGATTTTTTGAATCTCAACATATCGGCACTTTTTTTTTCTCGTTATATTGAACGATCCTTGGAAAGATTGGGAAATAATTCGTTATGCTGGTATACAGTATTTAAAAATTCGTTGAATCGAAATTCGCTCGAGAGAAAGTAGCAGTGCGTGTTTTTTCCCTCGCGAATTCGCGTTCCTCATATTTAAAATGAAGTTTCTTTGATGAAATTACGCAAATTTTCCCTCCAGAATCCGTGTATACAATAAATTTTGAACACCTTTCTCCTCTTCAATATTGCGCTTTTTTTGGTCACTGTTGTGCAAATTCATAAAATGTCTTGAGCATGATTTCTCAAGCAAAAAATAATTCTGTATGCAGTGATGAAAAATTCGTTAAATATGAATTCTCTGAAGAGAAAGGAACCAGTACATCCCCCCCCCCCGAATTTTCGATCCTCTTTTTTAAAATGAAGTTTCTTCTGTAAAATGGCGCAGTTTTTCCTGCAAAATCAGTGAAATAAGTTCTGTATTTCATTTCTTGAACAGCTTTCTCCTCTTCAACATTGATGTGCAAATTCATAAAAATATATTCAACATAAAAAACGTAAATTATATTATTACATGTACTGTATATAATTAATCTCATGTACCAATCCTTTGCAAAAGTTGCAATTGGGTAATTATGCATGTGACATGCTTGAAGTGTACTTGCCTTGTATAGAATAATCCCATTATTGGTACTGTAGT